GGAGGGTGCGCGGGCACCCATCAGACCAGGGACTGTCCGAAGAAGTCGGTACTTTGCTGCAACTGCGGCAAGGCCCACTTATCGTGGCAGAAGGGGGCGTGTCCAAGCTTCGCGGCATACAAGGCCAACGTTCAGCGGGCACGGTATGGACTCATGGAGAGAACGGCCGAATTAAGAAGGGAGAGCGAAACACTAACGGAGTTACCTCAACTAAGTACTGTTAACATACCAGACGACCATGGATTCACGCTAGTGACCAACCAAAAGCCAGAAGGCTTCAAGAGAGGGCCGGGACGCCCGCGCAAACAAGTTCAGGTCCCAGCCCCATCACAACATCTATTTGCGCCATCGGGGTCGAAATCAAGACCACAGCCATCACTTTTCAGCACGCGAGGGCAGGGAAAGGATGGCGAGGTATACTTTAGCTAGTTCTATTTCGGACTAACGGCCATTTGCACTTACTGTAGGTAACGAAGAACTACAGGTATAAAATATTAAAGGGGGAGGGGGTTTTTATCGTCATGGTTTCCCCCTCATGTAAATATATAGTTTTAGGTTTATAGTCACCTGCATGGGCCTTAAGGCGCCAAACCAGGACAATGAAATCAAAATTCAAAAATAATAATAATAATAATAATAATAATAATAATAATAATAATAATAATAATAATAATAATAATAATAATAATAATAATAATAATAATAATAATAATAATAATAATAATAATAATAATAATAATAATCAAAACATCATCATTTGGTCAAAAGCGGCACAACGTTCCACGAACGTTATTTCATCGTTTCGTTAATTGCTACTATCTTAATCGAACCTTATTATCCGATTCCCCGATTTTTTCGCACTGCGCTTCGGCATGGTGGATTGGGGAACCAGAAATGTGGTTTTCACTGCAGGAAAAATTTTCACGGCACCACCAAAACCCCCAACGGACAGCGGAACAGCCGCAATTATGGCTGTAGATTCTCTCGCGACATCTACAGGCATTAACATGGATAGTTTGAAATCAATAGGGCTTTTTCTAAACAAGGTTCGCGACAGACTGGTAATAGCAGGTACTAGCCCAACTGCGGCACCGATGGCGGAGGTAGATGGGGCTATTGACGCCCTCAAGTCGCACGCATTGTCTCTACAATCGACAATGAAAGCGACACCAATGGAAGAAAGGATGCTGGCCTTAGAGAAGGCAGTAACGAAGAGTCTCGAGGAGCCAGTGCGCAAGATGGCTCCTCCGTCGACACAAGGAATGGGAGGGCGACCAACGTACGCCTCGGTCGTTGCACCTCCCGCAACTAAAGCGGCAGTAAGAATACGAGTTCAAGGGGCAGAAAAAATGCAGCCGGCAGAGCTGCTTAATAAAGCAAAAATACATATCGAGGGAGCATATGCCGTAAGGCAGTTGCGGAGTAACGATACTGAGGTGTTCGTGCAGTCGATCTCACAGCGAGACGCTGCCCTGAATATGGCTCAGCCAAAGGAGTTCTGCGTTTTGAAGCAGGATTATCCTGTTGAAATTTTGGGAGTCCCATTGGGGACAATGATACATGGAGGGAAAAATGCCGACAACGGCAGAATGATATACCAAATCACTACGGAGACAAATGTTCGGATTCCTGGAATCCAAATAAACAGGTTAAGATGGCTCTACGACGGGAAGGAGCACCAATGGATGAACAAGAACGGCCATACTCGAGGGTCGGTGATCGCTAGCCTGCCGACAGAGGCTCTTCAACGCGAGGTGATACGAAACGGCATTGTACTCAATTCAATGCTGTACACGGCCCAGCTCTGGTCACCCCGGGCTCAAGTTAAGCAGTGCTTCAACTGCAGTCAATGGGGGCATACTCAAGCCTCGTGCAATAGGGCGAAAAGATGTGGTGAGTGCGCGGGCACTCACCAGACTAGAGACTGCCCGAGGAAGTCGGTGCTCTGCTGCAACTGCGGCAAAGCCCATAAATCGTGGCAGAAGGGGGCGTGTCCAAACTTCGCGTCCTACAAGGTTAGTGTCCAGAGGGCACGGTATGGACTTTTGGAAAGAACGGCAGACCTAAGAAGGGAGGAACTAACAGCAGCGGCCACCACAATATCACCAGCGGCAAAACAAGTAGACAACCAAGGGTTTACACTGGTGTCCAACCAGAAGGCAGAGGTCGGAAAGAGAGGGCCAGGGCGCCCGCGGAAAAATCCCGTGGCCACAGCCCCACCTACACACCAATTTGCGCCATCGGGGTCGAACTCAAGACCACAGTCATCACTTTTCGGCACGCGAGGGCTGGGAAAGGATGGCGACGTCACCTATAACTTTAGCTAGTCCTGTCTCGGACTAACGGCATATTGCGCTTCCTGTAGGTAAACGAAGTACTACAGTAATAATTTGAAGGAGAAGGGGGTTTTTATCGGAAGGTTTCCCCCTCATGTAAAATACCTATAAATAGAGTTTATAGCCACCTGCATGGGCCCATAGGGCGCCAAATCAGGGTAATGAAATCAAATTCAAATTCAAATTCAAATTCAAAATAATAATAATAATAATAATAATAATAATAATAATAATAATAATAATAATAATAATAATAATAATAATAATAATAATAATAATAATAATAATAATAATAATAATAATAATAATAATAATAATAATAATAATAATAATAATAATAATAATAATAATAATAATAATAATAATAATAATAATAATAATAATAATAATAATAATAATAATAATAATAATAATAATAATAATAATAATAATAATAATAATAATAATAATAATAATAATAATAATAATAATAATAATAATAATAATAATAATAATAATAATAATAATAATAATAATAATAATAATAATAATAATAATAATAATAATAATAATAATAATAATAATAATAATAATAATAATAATAATAATAATAATAATAATAATAATAATTATTATTCGACAAGAAAACAGGTAGAAAAAGAATCACCTACAGAAACACACCCTCTAACATTCACCGAAACCTGAGCAGGGCCCAAAGTAGTATTGCAATACAAATAAGAAGTGAGCATATCGGCCTCAACTCTTATCTTTATAGGAGAAAGGTCCCTGGAGTGGCAAATCCAAAGTGCCAGTGTGGATATCCGTCACAAAACGTGAAACATATGGTCATGGCTTGTCCTCAGTGGGCTAAGGGAAGAGGAGAGGTGCTGCAACGGGCAAAAGATAGGTCTTTCGAAGCTATGATGAACAGCCCGGAAGACATGAAGAGAATTACAGATTGGATACTTACAAACGGCTGGCTTGAACAGTTCCGGCTTGCAGAAGAAGTTGAGACAGCAGTCAGCGAAAGGATTGAGCGATCGGGAAAAGGATAGGACGATATTCACACTGGACGCACAGTGTAAGCGCACTTCCTGTAGGAAACATCGGAAATCATATAGACACGAGACAGACAGTTGTGGGGGGTTTTTACCAAATATGGTTTCCTCCTGTGTAAATATTATAGCTAGATATTCCTGCATGGGCCCATAGGGTACCTGAACGGGCTAAATGAAATCAAATCAATAATAATTATTCATTATCCTGATTTGGCGCCTTGAGGCCCATGCAGCTTTTTATCGGAAGATATATACTTTAAGTCGGATGACTCAATTTGACATTTAGAACACTCGCACTCTGATTTCATTTGCAGATACCACTCGAGGTTAACCCTTACGGTGTAGAGCCTCTTTCATGCACACCCACCACAGGGAAAAGCGTGAAAACTCTGTGGCCATCAGAGTGTGCTTTCATCAACCCACAAGTACAATATCACCGCGAGAGAGTGTGGTGTATGGGTCTGGCTGGATTCGAACCAGATTTCTCCTGTCTCGAGTGGGGTAGGTGTTCAAGCTACCCTGCATCTACTTAGGATAACAGCCTGAATGGTGTACCACTGCACCATCTAACCCTTTGATAGACATTACTGGCGGTAACTAGTTCATGCATTTGAATTTGAGCTCATGAAATGGGCCTTAGTTTCGCTCGAAATTTCACTGTCCCAATGGTTCTGGATGGTTGAGATCTTACAATCATAGGATAATTTATTTTTCTGTCTGTTATTTATTAACTCATGGAGTAGACTCGGCTTATCTAGCTACAACCCTCATATATTCTAGCTATTGTCTGTTAGACATGGTAGGAATTTATTTGGTTAATCTAAGGAAGTTTTCATAATTGCATCTCAAGGTTGCCATCGCAAGCTCGGAAGCTACCCATAGACTTCATTCATAGAAATGATACTGCAGATTTGTAGCCTACAGAAAACAAGAAGGGCTTCTACAATTTGCATTTGATAGTTGAGCAAATTATGAATTTAAAAATAAACGCGCATTACGAAAGTTTCATGTTCCTCGAGATTCATCATTAATTATGTAATGATGTAACTAATTCGATGTTGATTCTGGTGAAGAGCTACTTGCAGATTTTATATGCAGCTCTTCTCGTGTTAGGGTCTATGGCTACATGTTGGTTGATAACTATTGTAGTTCCTGACAGGATCGCATTTTAGTCAAGTGACTACTATGGATACCCATGCCTGATGAAGTATGCCAGACTCAGGTACCAAAATATTCTCCTCGGAAATGAATGGTTTACTCGAGTAAGTTTATAAGTCTTTCCATTACAGCCTGTTTCATAAGAAAAAACGCCTAGAATTCTTGACAATTCGGAGAGTAATGTCTAGCTTGTAAAAAATACCCCCTTTCTCCTCGAGGTTTTTATATCGATGAAGTGGAATATTATTTACTGCATTGTTCCACATGGAACTTATGATTAACAATTCCTTCTTCTTTGATATTTTAATTCGATTTGAAGTGTTCTCTGGATGTCGAGATTAATAACAACAATTATATTACTAGTTAGAAGAGCTGATACCCTGCTAGTGGCCATGAATAAAATTAAAGTCGTATTATACAAAGGCTTTAAACATGCCTCGCTTTCACATAAGTCACTCATAGAAAATAATTAAAATATCACCTTGTGTTCGTGACGAGCTCGCCATGCAGCATCCTTGACGGGTTCGATACCCTTTGCTGATACATGCTGTGTTGTGCCATCTGTAGGTGAAGACGAAGGCATGTTGTTAGATGCCTCCTCGACTCTTTCCGGAAGACTACCAGATGCACATCCTTTGCCATTAAAAGCAGAATCAGCCGCGGCTTTCCATATAGCCGTGACATCAGTTATCATATGTTCCGTATAATACAGACGGCACTCAGTCTCTTCTCGGACATACTGAGATGGAAGCCCATCACTAACGTGGTCAGAAAGAATGGAGTCTCGTACATTGCAGGCAGCGCTAGTGCTTCGCTGCAAGGGAAGCGTTGACAATTGACCTAAAGACTTTGCTTGAGCTATCGTGGCGTTTGGTAGCGCCTCCTGGGCGTAACTGTAAATTGCATTCCAGCTTAAAACTTGGGATCCCTTGACTCCTCCAACTCCCTGAATAAGACCCTCCTTGGGACGTCCTCCCATAGCGATAGATTTAACTCCGGCTTGGGTTCGCATAAACTCGGAAAAAATCGTACATGTAGATGCGCAATAACCATCATAAAGCTAGAAAGAGTAAGCTGTGCGCTAAATGAAAACATTGTTTTACAGACCATTATGATATTTTTGGCGTCGAAATGTTGCGTAAGGTTTTTGCGAGATCCATAACCAGTTATTTCGATACCAACACCGTAGGTGGAGTTTGAAGTAGTAAGTGGATCGTTCAAGTTCCATCGCATGTCATTGGTGAAATTGTCACCTTTTGTCGCGTATGGGCCAAACTTTTCTTCGAAGTTCTGGAAGGGCGCGTTTTGCAAATTTAAGTCATAGCGATAATTAAACCAAGAAAGAGCTTCGTTTATCTGCATGTCAGAGGCAGTAGCAGGGTCAAACTCTTTGGAGGTTGCAGAAAATATCTCGGCAATAGCAGTGAAACCTTTGCCTGCTCTCCAGCGAGAATTCCCTTCTTGTTCGATGGTAGGGAAAAATTGTCTAAACAGATCATATCCTTGCAGTATATATCCTCCGCCGTTGTAGCTTAGATCAATAACAATTTTTGTCTTGCCATCCCGCTTTGCATCAATCATAAATTTCTGTGCAACTTCCTGAAATTCAGAGATAGATCTCGACTCAAACGCTAAAACACTGAGGACAGCGACGTCTTCGTAGCCTTGCCCATCCATATAATACCCGGATAAGATGGTGTCATTAGTTGTGATTACTGGCGGTGGATATCCAGGAGCAAGCACTGGACGAGAAGACATGTAATCTGTTTGGTCATCCGCTTGGAAAGAATTAGCACTAACGGAACAAAATCTGGAATAAAATTGCTGTCCGTCCGCTACGTTGTAAAAGTTTCCTTTGACTTTGGCGGTGTTTTCGAGGGTAAGCGATGATCCATTAGCAAAGGTGAAAGTTGTCGAAGGACCTGGGTAGATATATCTGGTACGCCCGCCTCCCGAGAAGTAGCCCTTACCACCATTCGCAGCGTAAGAGGCTTTTTCGTAGAACATAGTATTGTATACAGCGTCTGCATCTTGTTGAAGGGGAGCAGTGGTGCTGAAATTAAAGATGTATGTTGACGCATCGATATCATTGATTTTTGTGACGATGGACGCCGATTCAGGAGAATAAATAACATCTTCTGGGGAAGGTCAGAGATTACTGATATTCTATATGCTTAAAGATTCTCACCAAAGAGTTTTATGACAGGAAGCGATCGTCCGTCCTCGCTTATTGATACCAGGGATCGTTGGCGTCCGAATTCAAAAGCCTTTGCTATAGCATCGGGATAGAAAACGAAGTGTCCATCATGACCTTGGGCAAAAACTTGGTACAAATCACCCTGAAATTCATATTCATTGGCGTATCGGTTAGATTGTAAGTTGTTCCGGACGGTAGCCAGAGAAGCAATAACATCGTGAGCAGGAAAATCGTAATCTGCTGGAGGATCTTTTTTCCACACCAGATCTTGCAGTGAAATATTTAGCCAGTTTGTTATGTTTTTTCAGAAGGTGGCCTACCACTTTGCCATTCTAGGTATGGCCCGATAGCATCAACGAGCTGTATAGCGGCTGTCTTGTTCAGTGGTACTGAGTTCAGACAGTCAAAAGCAAGCTGTGCAGAGACGGTTGGCTCAGCTAGAACCAAGTCAGCGTCGCACGTAAATCGTTTATTAGATTTAGTTGAAACAAACCAGAAGGAGTAGCAACTTTCTGCGCAGAGGACGAACTGCTTACAAGGGCGCATGGCTGAGCGACGTCGCCCACAACAGTCTCAGGTGGCGACGTGGTATATGACGGGTTTCCTATTGTTGGAGTCGATCTCATCACAACAGTCTTGCAAGCACAAGCACTGGCAACGCGCTCTTTGTCGAGCACATTATTTTTGTCTTGACAAGCTGCCAACGCTTCTTCTGGTAGAGTTGTCGAATCTAGAAGATATTTTGAGCAGAAATCTTGGGTTGCAGAATGTTGTCCTGTGATATTTGATGTTGGGCGAAGTGCTAATAGACAGCTATCGGCAGCGCAGTTCGATGCTACCGATAGATTCGGCAGTATCAAAGCAATCCATAGGTAGTTCATTGACAGAAAGTTTTGACCGTGAGAGATTAATGATTGGACGTGACAGGGCTGAAAAGAGGAAAAATACTGAGGCGTCTCTTGCTAGAAAATAATAATTCACTAATTGTAAATTTTGTACACATCTTCTCTTAACACCTAACTCAGGCGGCTATCACACACTTATTATCGGTCCAAGTGCAACCCCTATTGTATACACGAACGGCATTGCGCATGAGTTCAGTCAGGGATAGGGTAGGAGGGGGGGTACAAAGAGATGTTGTGGCCTGAACTTCGCCGCAGCGTTGCGATGTAAACAACTTTATCCAGATTTCCGAAACGCCAAACAGACTGAATTGACCTGACATGAATTCGTGATCTCATTAATTTTGCATCCACCACAATCGCCCGTCGAACATGGTTGGTAAAATTTGGTTGCGGCCCTTCGCCACTTCGCACAAGCTTCAGGCCAATTACTTGTCAAGGATCGATGAATGAGGATTTGTCCGGTTGGCGTAGATTTTCAGATGTTGTATATCCCCGTGCTCGCGGATGAACTAAGTGATTTGATAAACATTACATGCTAGATGATGGGGTTCGGGTAACATCGCTAACATCCGTTCCACCAATCATATAAATAGTTACCCTACTTCCTGGCAACCTTGCGGATGATTATAGTGCTCAAGCGAAAGGCTAATTACGCTAATCTCATGACCACGCAACCATCATCTGTTCGCAGAGCTTTGTCCTTGCCAGTATGCCAGAGCCAGTAGATAACACACATCAGTAAGACTCAAATGCACTCGGCTCAATCAAATGCATTTAGTTATTATATACAATGTCGTCAGGTATTTATCTTTTGACTATTTATCATCTAAAAATCCGAAATAACATTGTCGTGAGGGTCATCCAGAATCGCGCTCCACGTGATGTTGGCTAACCCCATCTAGCTCAGATAGACGCGACCCGCACATATGAGATACTCTCGTTTGTGTAAGGTGAATAGAATAGAAGACAACAATGAATCACGAATGAGCTACCACGTTGCATAGTAGTACCTTTGATTTATACGATACTCTGCCGTATCAACAAACGTAATTAGACAATCATTATCAAATTTAATATATTTTTTTGGTGAAGCACCACGTGGTCTAGCATATCTTTAATCCTGACAGGAAACAATCTTGCAGTCCATACGGTTCGATATCGTAGCCACGCAAAAAAATTTGTTACAAACCAAGCGCATATAGGATCCTGTCGTAAGATTTCCAAACTCTAGCACGTCAAAGACACCGTACCAAAAGATTTCTTGCCGAAAATGCGAAAAGTCCGAAATAATACCAGTCAGCTTCATCGCCCCCACCAAAGAAGGACAGTCCGAAACATGCAAGCTTACTAACAGTTCTTTGACAAAGTGCAGCTTCAATCCAGAGTTTGTGACCATAATTAATGATACATAGGGTTCATTTGTACTCATTAATTCTCAGCCTATTGAATTAAAAAATCCGGTTAAATTTAACCAAGAGAGTATAAGTTAGCTTTTAGAGCATATACTGTAGGCTAGTGATCACAATGTGCTTACCTTGGAATTCTTCATGAACCAAAAATTGATAAGGCAGTGCTTAGTATTTGGACGGGTGCCGAGCTAAACAAAGTTCAAATGTTAGAGCTCTCCTAGTAAGTTGATTCTTAAATTTGGTATTAACTACTTTTACGAAAAGATCACTGTAAATTTAATAGAAAACCCAGCCTGTAATACTCTTGCATATCATTTTTTGGTTAATGAAGTGTATGCAGTTAGCTAGCTAGCTAGCAATGATGAATCATTTGCTTACGAGCGATAACTCTGCAAACATTATTTACGCTCTGCATATCTTAGATAGCTAGGAGAATCGCACATGCTAATGAGTCGAAGGCAAACCCACAACCAGTGCCGTTTCGTTCACTCTCCCACGAGCCCATCAACTCAGTCTTACCACAATCCATATCAACTCCACAACTAACCAATCATCGGCTCGACTTGCCGACGGGAACTTGCCTCTTCACCCATGGGTCAGTTACAGCCATAGTGTTTCGACGCCACTTACTCCTGCGGGGACGAAAAAAGGTCATCATACAAAAATCTCGAGGCTTTGCTCTCAGGGGGCCACTGCTCTAACGTAGCTTCATAGCTCGAGAGAAGATAGGTATCTAAGTCGTGGAAGAGAAATTAGAAGATTTTATGGTGTGAGCATGCCGTGAATAATCCTTTTCGTGTTTTGGATAACCGTAGGCCACAAGACTTAACATTCGGCTAGTGCTGCCCACGGTTTAAGAACAAGACTTACCATGCTTGCCTCAGCGTGCAGAGGGGTGAGAAAATGCTTTGGGTCGGTAGGGTAATAGTTAGCGTAAGCCAGGGCGAGCTTATTGGAGTTACTCCCTGGGTGGATGTCATTGAGGCACATTGGCGAGATGCAGAGCGCCAGACTCTGGAGTTGTGTTTCTATGCATATTGAGACTGGCTCGATAAATATCTATCATGCAGATATTAATGAGTATTCCGGAAGTAAGAGGTAGACTGAATACCTATGAAGGGTATCCCCTACCCATCTTCAAGTTAAATAAATTATCAGAGCCAAGTATAGTCAATTTTTGCAGTACCGAAGATATTTGCCCACGAGGCGATGATTCAAGACTTCCGACCATATCAATTTTCGCTGCCAATAAGGTCTGTTCCCGCCAAAACCCCATCAAGTCTACAAGTACGACGTGGTACATCCTCATTCCAAGAGCCATAACTTCCGCCGCCTCGATCTTTGGCCTTAGCTCGTCTCCAAATGCACGCCCACGACTAGACGAATATCCGAAGGGTGTCACGCTAACAAAATTGTAATTGGTAGATTTGAGGTTAAGGAGTAGTTGTAATTCTGTAGGTGTTGTTATCACTTAATTATGTACATGTAGTTTAGCTGTAACATATTGTAGAGTATATGCCTGTTATGCCTTAGGCAGTAGTATCTGTAATTCAGTCTACCAACAAGGACCCAATCATTAGGGATTGGGTCAAGTAATAATCAACCATCGTTTTCACCTAGTCCACCTATTCAGATCTGAATAATTAACCCAACAGTAGGCCTTCGATTGTCAGGTAGTTTCTTGCCTCCTCATCGTACAACTTATTTCTAATAATTTACTGCGCACCTTGATTATCTTCCTGTAACGCAAGAGGGCAAAAATAGCAGTACACAAATTTCAAAGGTAGATATCCAAAGCAGATGGGATAGGTGTTAGGGAAGGTGGTCAGATTTTTGATACGGAAGGATAAAATCCCGATTATGACCAGAATACGATTTTTGGGAAGGGAGTTATAACTGATGGGCACTGGAAATTGTCTTGACTATGACTTAGAGACAGTTGTGATTCAACTGGTAAGAATTGTGATGTAGACTTTAGAAGGAATTGGTATTTGCAAAAGTATGGCGGGTAATTCTGTCTTGTCTTGTTCATTTACGTGCTAGGTAAAGTGATTCCTATTGCACTCCTACTGGAGCTTAAGCACGAGTGGGGCCGGGCTGGATCAGGTTAACTACCATTAAGTACATCTATCTCGTCCCACCTAAATGACCGAACCACCTCAGACTTCACCCATGTGTTGAATCATTTCAAGCCCAACCGTCCAGAGAGCCCCCTTTTGGCGCGCCGAGGCGCAAATTCCTCCTCAGCCTCGGCCACCACGCGCCCGAGCCCTTGACACCTCCGCGATCTGTAACTTTTCCCTTCGCTTCATTCCCAGCTTTTGCTCATCTCATCCAGGGGTCGTTTTCTTCACTAGAGGCCTCGTCCAGTCGCCCACCAAGGCCTCCTCAGTTTGTATTCCCTTTTAGTTCCTTCATACGGCATCCCTCTGTCCTTCAGCCGATCTCGTCATCCCAGAAACTTTGTAGAATGTCCACCCCTCCGGCCTTGCCCCGTCGCTGCCGTACCCCTAACCGTGGAGGTCAAAAACGAGACTGAGAGCTAAAGACCGAAGCACCGATGCCCCAGCCTTTGTCGAATGCTCTAGTTGGTGTGCCGGCGAAATGTCGTACGTATTTCATCGGTGGCGATTCGTCGCAGGTCCAGTTGTTGGTGCCCTTGGCCGAGGTGAGGACGCATCTGAGGCCGGTATTTCGACCTTACCTTCACAGCGACTGGCAGTTGCGTAGGGTCGGATATCTTCTTGCTTCTTTGTTGCGATTTGGCTTTTGGAGGTATGGGATTGCTTAGGTAGGTGATGAGATGATTGTGGAGAGGGCCGCGAGATGAGTCTGGCTAGGAATGATTTTCAAGAGAAATAGAAAATAAGATGTTGAACGTGTCGGTTGTTGTAATACGAACATCAGACAGGTTATAGCCTGTCTGCGGTTCGTATATGGGGTGTAGATGGTCGATTTTGTTGAGTTGTGCAGTCGTGAAATCTCTGCAAGTCGGATTCTCGACCAAAAATGAGCCAACACTACTCCTCCCCATCGCCAACTCTGCGAAAACTCTCAAATTCACCCTTTGTCGTGACTAAATCTCGGCTCTTGGAAAATATTTCACTCCCAGGTTCGTAGAGGACACCACTGACAGGTGTTCAGCCTTCGTCCTCCTGGGTAATTCTGTGATCTTGTGTTGTGTTGTGTTTATTTTTTTTTAGGTCTACCGGGCACTAGTTACAGCTAATGCCCCATCCCTGAGGGGACATGGTGACTAAGTCTATTGTTGTGTTATCCATGTAACTTACCATGGGACATGCTTTTGGTCAAGTCATGGCAGATGCACGTGACTGTGGAACTAAACCGTGGGGTGTTTAGTGTGTAATGCATGTGTAGGTATTATGGACTAAACTAGAATTCAATAGAATAGAGATAATGGAATCAGCGAGAGACTGATGGACTGAGGGTGAACGAGCTGGTCATTTCTCGTAGGAGAGAAACCATATCAGACAGTTCTTTGGGATGGACGTAAGAGGATTCAGGACAAGCTCGCGAGATGATGCAGAGGATAGATTTAACCTCGAAAGGCGTGAAATTCCGAATTTTTGCAAGGAGTATTTACAAATTGAGCTTTGTGTGCGCCAAGAATTCGCTTGCGAGAGTGCAGCTGACACTATAAAAACAAGCCGACGATTGAAGTTGTCGTGATCCGCCTCCTGGTGGTGTTCTCCAGTATAGTTTGAGTGGCCTGGGCACCCACTCCATGTGGGAGGGAGAAGTCTGAGATCACATTTTGCGCGGAGACAAGTAAATGGACGATAGAGGCATGTCTGGATAACTTGGGGGTTTTAAGACGTTTCCCTGAGTGGGTATTCACGGATAAGAGCTGACCCGGGGTGAAAAAAATCCGCAGTAACATCGCGATGGTACTTACAACTGAAATATGATGTATTAGTGCACCTTTTCTATGTTTAGAACATTTGTTCTGCATTTACCTCTGATATCGCGTCACAGCCAGATAGTTGCACGCACAATTATATCTGATTAAAGAAAAGAAAAAGAGTAATATTTTCGCTGAGCCAGAGATTAACTTCGTGTTGGAGAGGTAGGACATCGTGATTGACAAACTGTCTCAAATCAAATCTAAAGGATAGGTAAGGCACGCGACATAATTGTCCACAGGATTAGGGATACCCTCCCTACAAATGTTAAAATCTTTAGCCAGCAAGGGCCACTCGATGCGACAGGAGGCTACGCTTACTTCAAACCTTTGAGCTTGTCTCAAAATACTGCCCACAACGAGTACTCGCACAGGGCACTACTACGCTTGATGCATTCATTTTTTTGTATGTTTTATTGTTATCATGGTCAACCAGGCTAAAGCAAATGCTGTTGTCTCATTCCATAGGGAACATGGTGACTAGTTTTCTGTATTGACACCCACAGAAAGGCATACTTCATAGCAGTAAATTACCCGACTAAAGAAGTCATAACTTTATCACAGTATCAAAAGAGGTAGTATCTAAATTTGTATCTAATAGATCATGTGAGTCAGACTGATCACTATCTAGTATGGAGAATAACAAGTTTAGAAAGAAGACTAATTGAATGCTGGATTCCCAGGTCTGTACAGGATACTGTGTTTCATTCAAAGACAATTCCACTTCTATGAAAGTCGAGAGATGCGTGTCGCAAGTCCGGGGGGGCGAGGGGCGGCTTTCCATCAATTTTGGCATCCTGTTGGCAATAAACTCCCGACCAACCTTGATCAGTGGCGGTGCTCAAACGTTTGATATGGCACACACAACAAACTCTAGTCACATTCCTCGATTATCCAAATCGTCGAAGTAGCCATGAGAAAACTTTTGGATCCCTGTAGATATAAGGATGCTCTAGGGTCGACGGTCAAGCTGTGATTTATCGTCAAGGACAGGGCACGACAACTTCAAGTTGGACCGCGGAAGATATACACAGATTAGGTCGCAGGTATTCTCATGTACAAAATAAAGGATAATGAACTCTATCCCTTGATTAAACCAGTAGTGTATATTTGGATAGGTATACACAAGCCATGTGTTGCGACCACGTATTTATGTGTGTGTAGTTTTAGTTTCAAAGTATGGGGTATATGTCTTGTGGGCATTGAGAAGTAAAGCAGCCACCATCGAGTCTACCAAAAAACCCCAGTCGCCAGAATAGTGACATTAAACCATTTATTTCCTTTTTGACTTTACAGCTATATGGTACAAACTATTTAATGACATCATATCTATTACATCCCAATTTGGGGTTTCCCAATCATAGTTGATCAGGGGGCCCCAATCGTTAGAGATCGGGTCATGAATGAACGAGTAGTAATGAACCATCGTTTCACCTGGGCTACCCTTTAGATTTGGATAGTCCACCCGACGACAAGCAAAGCTATTGTGTAAAGGCCTAGAACATCTGATGGCGCAAAAGTTTTTAACAAGCTATAACATAATTATAATATGCATTCACAAAAATTAATTTTAGGCCAGAGCATATTATTTTTTAATTTTATTGTGCTGTCTGAGTCTATGACTATGTTGGACATGTAAGACTTCCCTGCTTACATTCAAAGGATACCTATACCAGTAGTATATCCCCTCCTATGCCTCCCATACTGCTCCCCTCAGACAGTACCACCCCTCACAAGTCCTCATTCGATCATATACTTAGAGGAGCTATTTACCCTTCATTATCTCTCCTCTCCAGCCAACGAAACGATGGCCATTTGCGGGTGTATGGCAGCCAGGTAAATCACACAATATTAGGAAACCGGGAGCCTGTCATGTAGCGGGTGAAGATAATTTACGGGTGTCAACAACTCAGTAGAAACAACTTGATTTTTCCTCGAACATCGGTCCGCAGAACTTATCTCTTCTCTAAGTGGACCGTGCGTTCAACTCGCTAATTTACAGTATTCTATTATTGGACCCAATATGACTAAATGTGATCCATACACCCGATAAATCCTAGATACTTCCTGATGTCTACCACAAATATCACCGGATGCGGGGCTCTTCTAGTACCGAAATCAGGACTAATTCCGAGGAAATAATGACCCTTCTGCAGCGTTCGGCAAGCTTGACACTGCGGACTTGTGGGTACCTCGGAGGCTAGAAGACATTTCGGCTTTTGGGTTGTATTTATTTACCAAGTATTGTTATTTCTCTCTCATGGTAAGTTCAATACATCACATATAACACCAAGTGTCTGTCGGAAAATGTTAAACAAATCAAAACTTATAATAATTATACCTTTAAAAGCTTTCTAGATAGCTTTCGAACTTCTTAGTGATAGACTCAGAAGAGACTCCAATAAAATTGAAATCAACTCCGCCACTGCACAACATATCGTTTACCACCGATCCCCCCAATAGTGGACTCTTAGCCTTACCTTTGGACTTTAAAATACACTAATTGTTAGATGGGCTGTATCACGTACGTAACAAGTATATACAAAGACAACAGGTAGTGTAAAATTTGGTTTTATTCATTGATACTATTTGGCTTACCCAGCAAATAACTAATTGTGCGCGTCAAGCAAACGTGAACTAGCGGAACAACTGTTCTGCAACGTTCCGCCGACGGTTGGATACTGTGGTTAGTTACAAATACAACTTATCACTAGCAGCCGTTTGGTACATGGACCATGCCTGTAACGTGCACTTCGCTTATCGGAGGATAGATTCACCGCCGACATATCATGTTGTCACCAAACACCCAGCAACAGTAGTTTGGAGAGTGGATAGTACTTCTATCGTTCCTAATACTCATCATCAGAGTTGATTGCTGATAGTTACGGGGTCGCTCGGCCTTCACACAACCCGCCTTCTAACGAGCATCTAGTCATTCGGATCATCCATGACCAACGCATGCCTGGACGGGGTTTCACCTCGAGCTTTCTTGGATTATGTCGCAGATTCCACTCATTAGCTCCTTGGCTGGTCAGCTCAAACAGAAAGAGTCTTCAATGCACGATAAAGGCTTGGAACGCGAGTTTCAATCGACTGAATGTCTGGTCCTACTAAGGTCGCCATGGGACTCATTTATCTAGGTATCTCCGCGCAACAAGCAGACTCCACGAACTGTCAGTCATTCATTCATTCATTACCATCTATTCTTTACCTTTTGATCGCTGGAGCTCAAGCCGGACAATATCCATGCGAACTTGACCCTCACTTTTTATTAAATCCCTATTAACTGAATTGAGTTGCTTGTAACGATTTCATTCACAGTAGCTCAGTCAGCTACATTCTTTAACCTTCCCCTTGAGATAGATTCTCGAGGAACCCATCAATTCATTCTCAGAAATGCAAGTTCCAGTTTTATCTTTCTGCTATTGTGTTATTCCACTTTATTTGTTCTCTTTTGCCTATTCGGCCCCTCCATTATTCAGAGCTCCAGCAAATCCCAACTCCATAGTCAATGGCCTTGGTCTACCAATATCTAACATGGACGCCCCGGCTGAAGACGTGATTGCCAATCGTTATATTGTGGTATACTCAAAGGATGCAACAGACGATGCGGTTGAGTCGCACCAGACGACAATCAAAACAGCTCTTAAAAAACGAAGTCTAAATGCCACATCAATTGATGGAAGACAGCTTTCGCCTATGATGCACACCTTCAAAATGGGAGGCTGGAGGGGCATGTGCTTGGATGCTGAGGACGCCATGATCATTGACATCGAGAGTGCAGCTGAGGTTTCATACGTCGAGGCTGATACACAAGTTGGATTTCTTGAGTTGACGGAACAAATCGAAGCCCCAATCGGGCTAGTGAGGTTATCGCATGCCCTTAAATCGGAGGGCAAAGAATACGTTTTTGACAACGCAAGTGATGGAGCTGGTGTCGTAGGCTTTGTTATAGATACTGGAATACGAGCATCACACGTGGTAAGATAGCAACCTTTTCCCTTACAACATATCCATAAAAATACTTTCTAACATAGTTTTCAAGGAATTTGGCGGTAGAGCCACTTTGAAAGCAAATTTCATTGACGATATCAACGAAGATCTGAATGGTCACGGTAGTCATGTTGCAGCCACCATTGGAGGAGCATCTTTCGGTGTAGCAAAAAATATTGAGCTTGTCGGAATAAAAGTTCTCGATGCCAAAGGAAAGGGCAGCAACGCCAACGTTCTTCGAGGCGTAAATTTTGGTAAGTGATTCGGTGATGTCGTTCAGAAATAATTTAATTGATATATAAATTAGTCGCTGCAGAAGTAGCTGAGCGAGGCCTCGCCGGAAAAGCCGTAGTAAATATATCAATTGGTGGCAGCAAGTCAAAAGCTCTCAATACTGCCATTGAGGCCCTGACCAAAGCCGGTGTAACCGTGGTAGTTGCAGCTGGCAACTCCAACAAAGACGCTACAAATTTTTCTCCAGCATCAGCCCCTTCCGCAATCACTGTCGGTGCTATAGATCCTACGACAGACAAGAGAGCCAGTTTCTCGAACTTCGGAGCTTTTGTCGATATATTTGCGCCTGGAGTAAAAATTCTTAGTGCTGGTATCGCAGATGACAATGCTGTCGCAACTCTGAGTGGAACGAGCATGGGTAAATTAATCTTACACTTTCATTACCCTAACAGAATCCAACCCCTATACCTTCATTAATAAGCTAACAAACTTGCAGCTTCACCACATATTGCCGGCCTAGCCGCGTATTTAATATCAACAGAATCTTTGACTACCCCGGAAGCTGTACTCGCACGTATGCTCGAACTAGCTCGGTCGACAAATGTTAAAGTCGACGGACAATTAACAAGCACGATAGATTTGATTGCTTATAACGGCAGTGGACTTTGAAGGTATCGGCTGGATTGACCGGTACTTTATAAGAGTTTTTTGCAAGAATTTTAAAGCACCCAGGCCCTAAAAAACAGAATATTGAATATTGAATAATTCAAGCTTGTACTTATACTATTCATATCAAGCTCGACAAAAGCAAAAATTAAGGATGCGGGATAACAGTTGAACAAATTTATTCTGCCCATCTTCTACTGGATATGATCGTCTTCCTCAATCTCAACTAAAATTGACATGCAGGATGGACGAGGTATTCATAGATACTCAGATTTCTAGAGATCTAGAAATTGCTAGGCAAAATCAAATGATAATAGCTTTGGACATGGTTGTATCCATATTCAGAGCTTGACATCAAGGAGTGCCGCGCACGACTGATTGTTTTTTAACTGTTATCAAGCCAAATATAGATGTTTCTAAAAACTACAAATTTGAAATAGGTGTAATGTTGTTAAACGGACCAGCTCATCCTGTTGAAGCTTAAAATCAGTTCGTTATTTGATCAAATACTAAGATAATCTAGTTTTAATAGCTAGGATCTTTGACATAATCTATCACGACCTAGCCTCAGTTAACAAAAGACAAACTCTTACACAGTCATATCCCCCAAATCCGAGTATTCTAGCAGCAGTCGTGCCATTGACAGTTGTCAGTGAAAGGTGAAAATTCGGATACATTGAAAAATAATCTGCATCCAGATAGAGAGCCATAAAACATATAGAATGACTTGAGAACGCGTGAAATGGCTTGCTTTTGAGGTATTAAAAATATAGACATTTTACGCAAGGTCTATGATGAGGTAAGTTTAAATAGAACTGGTTGCAAGGGAAGGATGGCTAGGGCCACCGTACACAAGCAATGCAACAATGAGAAAAAAATACCACTTTTGTTAGAAAGCTACGCAGCGTTCCATGCTGCCTTTATCTATTTGACTTTGTGAATCCCATTTTTATGTCGTCTTTACCCTCGTTACATCATTTTCCTTTCCGTGCTCCGACGTGGCGAGTGTAAATGCTAGTGTGGTTAAATTCAATGGATTTTACGCGTTGCGGAAAGCGACAACGGCAAGCAAATCCCAATGCACTGGAGCGCAGATAGCTCCAGTGGACCGTAACCTTGAAATTATAAGGAGATTAATGAAAAAGGACAGACTTATCGTGATGGGCGAGATGGATGGGGAGGACTTACTCACAATGGAGGACGTCAATGAAGCCGTCAAGACGTTCAACTGTCACAAGGCTTGGAAGACGATGTCTCAAATTAAGGAGAGGATGATGGCGCTAGAGGAGATCGTCAATAAAAGCCTCGCGGACTCCGCACGATAAGCAGCTCCTGTTTTGTCGTCGGTCGTGGCTCTGCAAAAGACGAAAACAGCGGTACAGATCAGAATCGGTGGAGCGGAGAAATTGAAGACGGAGGAGCTGCTTTCAAAGGCCAAACAACACATGGAGGGGGCATCTGCAATTCACCAGATGCGCAATAACGACAACAAGGTGTTAGTCCAGTCAGCTTCCCAAGGAGACACGGTGCTTGACATGCGACAAGCAATCGACTTTCAAATTTCGAAGCAAGACTTTTCGCTTGAGATTTTCGGAGTCCCACTGCGGACAAGAATTGAGGGCGGCAGAGATGCCGTCAACCACGCCATTATCGCGGAGATTGAGACGGCGACTGGGGCTTGGGTTGGCGGCCTTGCAATTAACAGAATACGATGGCTACATTGTGGTCACCGCGGGCCAAACCAAAGCAGTGTTTCAACTGCAGTCAGTGGGAACACGGGCAGGCGTCGCGTGAAAAGATGGCTAGGTGCGGTTTATGCGCTGGTGCTCACCAAACTTGGGACTGTCCGAGGAAAAAGGGTTCTTTCTGCGAACTGCAGTAGGTAATACCGTGCATGGCAAAAAGCTGCGTGTCGGACCTACCAAGTCTACAAGGGAAGTGTGGAGGAGGCTCGGATGGAGTTTCTATGCAGAACGGCGGATATGTGGACGGAAAACCCCACAGTGGCGCCAATGCGAACGATCGCAACGACTGATGATGTGGGGTTTACTCTGGCCACCAGCAAGAAGGCTGAAGAACCCAAAAGAGGGCTGAGACAACCACGCAAGGTGGTTGAAGCCCCAGCGGCACCAATCATCCCATCGACAGTCGCACCACCATCAGAGCCGACCCTTGGAATACTCTGAAGACCCACGCCGAATGAGGAATTGCCTGCTCTTTTCAACTTCTCCTAGCTTCAGACTGATTGTAGGGGAAGTTGATAAAATAATTGACAAAAGAAACGTTCTCGGCATGAAGCTGGGTCGGTTCAAGTTGGCAGGCCATTGGGTTTTGTGCGCTTGAGAGCTTTTTCCAACCAAAGCGACTTAGCGGTCTCGTGGCTCTGTAAATTAGATTCCCAATAGGACGTTGGACAAGAATAAATCAAACAATCAACGCTTTCTTAATACTAGTCAGATTAAATCTTGTGATCTAGATGTGGGCCTCATCACCATAGTAAGATTGGGGCAGAGGACTCGTATGAGAACGACAATCGACCATGAGAAGTCGTCGATAATCGAGATGCTCGTGTTTGCTTCCGATTCCGATGCTGTCGAAGGCTCAGCATGACCACCGAAGAATTTTGACAAGAAAACGTCTCTGATCAAGAACAGGGACTGCTCCTATGTTGGTGGGTTATTATCGAGTGACCTAATGACTTAATGACCTTTCATGTATTATCTTAGAAATGATGACTAAACATGTTGATGAGTAATGAGTTATCTGTTTAGGAATGGCGTCAGGAGAGAGGGACAACTGCTGTATATACGTGTTTCCTTTAGCAGACAGGAATCAAGATACATGTTAACCACCAATTGTTATTACTGCTACGGAAAGCTTGTGATGTAAATGCCACCCGAGTATTCCGACACTTATTTTCTCTGGCCACTGCTCGAATTCTGTACTTGGGGCCGCGGCTTATCTATTCCTAGCGCATGTCTACATTTAGAGATCAAGATATCATGATAATTATGATCAGTGTGTGTAGTCCCGCGAATTCCGGGAGAAGTAGGAGTCAAGTTGCCTCTGCCGAGTTGCCTTTTTCTTTGATTACGAGTAACCTCGACCTATCACGCGTTAGGCTACCAGTTACCTCATGGACTCGCATCCAATTCTTCTGGGCATCTGGCAGTATGGTGGGCAAATTTTCCGTGCAGCGCTGTTACTCACCTGCTCATCACGGAATCACCTGGAACGTTCTTCCTTCCATCCCAGTCATCATTGCCCTTGCGCACCATAGTCGTGACTCTCACCAGCACAACGTCATTTTCACTATAAACACCGCCATGGTTGGATGGTGCGGTGGTACACCATCCGGGCCCTTCTCCCAAGTAGATACTGGAAAGCTTGAATGTCTACCCCATTTGAGACAGGAGTAAGCTGCTTCGAATCTAGTAAGACCTACACACCACTCTCTCTCACCATGATATTGTACTTGTGGGATGATGAAAGCACACTCGGATAGCCACAGGGTTCTCACGCTTTTCCCTGTGGTGGGTGTGCACGAAAGAGGCTCTACACCGTAAGGGTTAAGCTCGAGTGGTATCTGCAAATGAAATCTGAGTGTAAGTGTTCTGAACGTCAAACTGAGTCATTCTACGTCAAGTACATATCTTTCGATAAAAAGCTGCATGGGCCTCAAGGCGCCAAATCAGGACAAATGAATTATTTATTTAGATCCAGGGATTTCTCCATCTACAAGTGGGCCAGATCGCTTAGGTTTGGCTAGCGGCTTGCGCCATGCTGTTCCTTCTGCCCCGCATGGCATCACGTGCTATACCACTACTGCTCAGCATGAAGTCCGAGGATGAAGAGCATTAAATTACAATAAGAATAAGTGCCGACGCCGACCATGAAAGTGTGTGTTGCTGAGCAACTGTATCCAAACTGCAACATTTGAAGCCGTATTTCTAGCAAAGCCTTAGTGTCGCTCCCTGCCCTATCCGCGCAGACATCACAATCCTAAGCGATTATCCAATGGTACAGAGGCCTATAGATTGCTTGGTTGTTCAGTAACGTGCTAGGTAAAGTGACTACTGTTGCACTCCTACTGGAGCTTAAGCACGGCAGGGGCCGGGCTGGATCAGGTTAAATGCCATAGAGTACAAGTGCCTCGTCCCGACCCAGACTTCACCCCTGTGTTGAATCATGTCAAGGCCAACCGCGCAGAGAACCCTCTTTTGACGCGCCGAAGCACAAATTCCTCCTCAGCCTCGACCACCACGCGCCCGAGCCCTTGACATCTTCGCCATCTGCAACTTTTTCCCTCCATTCAGTCGCAGCTTTGGCTCATCTCAGCATCTCCTCGTCTCATCCAGAGTCGTTTTCTTCACTGGCGCCTCATCCAGTCGCCCACCAAGGCCAATAGATTGATGGGGATGGAGAGGAATCATTGACGTTCTGCCATCATTGAGAAAGGAAGAGTGTGGACCTCACACAACAATTCTCTGGGCAAGTAGAGAGTGTAAAGTCTAGATTTATATTGAAGCATTGATCTTGGACATGATTGCAGGCATACAGAGTCTATGCATGGATCAAATACCATCTTCCTCCTTCAAGTCGTGTCAAGTGCAGAGTATTTCCCTCCTCATCACATCAGGTTGGCCATCCTTTGCCAGCCTCCCATGCTCCAAAACGTCAGTAAGGAGAAGTGTTTACTCCGAAAGCCGCAGGATGAACAACGTTGGATCTCAGCTGTTGACCTTCCCAGGCCTAATCGAAAGACAGTCGGTGTAGTTTTCTTCCACAACAATCAAATTATTCGTGTGGACTAGTGGATAAACTTTCATTTAATAATCGCCTCGAACATGTGTTTTGTTTATTATGCTACGTGATGGCATAGAACATCTGCTCGGCCCATCCCGGGTCTATGACTCTTGTGGTCTGGGTAGAGGTGCAGTTAAGTGCCGTTGAAGTGAAATTCGCGCAATGCGCCGAGAACTGACACCTGTCAGTTTCTCGATGCAGCTGGAGTAGTGAATGGCCATGGTCAAAGTCGCAGGATTATCCTCGTTGGAGTCAAGATAGATGCAGCTCGCCTGCAACATTGCATCTCTTTCCACTCCTCTATCGATCAGTTCTTCTCCAGGCCCCGACACTGACCTATCGCGGAATGTCTCTCTGCACAAGATCTTTGGCTATAGCAGCTGCCCTCTTGCATTTTACCTCTCTCACGCATGGCCAGGCTCAAGATCTCATGCGCTACGAGAGCACAGTAAAGTGTGGAAATTACAAATTCTCCCAACTCGAAATCCTTCAATCCTACATGGGCGATAAAAGTAAGGGCGAGCCGTTCAAGGGAAGGACAAGATGTGGTTTGGCCGATAATGTCCACGCAATGCTGCCTCTGTTGGATGAGGGTGGGCCTCCTCTCTTCACTGCTTCCCGAGAAGGGACTAACAACTTGTCTGGCAGATTATAACCCCGTGCCCGGATGTTACCTTGTGCATGATGAGAAAGAGCATGTTGTAGATTTTGTTCACTCCATCACTGGCCGGTCGTTCATTCCTTGCTTTGTCAGCGAGCAAAACTCCTGTCCTAAAAACCAACCACGACGCCGATTGCTATCACTCCCGGTGCCTACCGCCGTACAGCCACACAAATTGGTTTCCTTGACTGCACACGACCATCAAGTTTCTAGGAGCCTAGGAAGCAACCTCTACGTGGTTGGCGAGAACAAGTGGTATGAGATTGGAGCTGGGCCAGTCTTTGGATCTCCGAATACAGATCAGGTTTCATATTACCAAGGTGATTTTTAATGTATTGTCAGTGAGGCTAGGATCAAGCTGCCTTATTTAGCATGGACTCTTATCTATTGCAATATTCAACGACATTATTAATGGCAAGAGTCTTGTAATGAGCTGGCTCTCGAAGTGATATTGCGACCGACACGATTGAAGTCTAGGCCTGATTCTCCAACTTCTGTTGCGACATCTTTTATTCTGTTGCCATGTGTTGCCGCCGAGTCTCAGCCTCATGCCACTAGATGATTCTGCATGGGTAGGGAACTCTGGTAAGGATATGGACGATTGTAAATGTAGTAGCCCCTACGCTGCAAACAAAAGCCAACTACTCGGGTGGAATGTACGCCAGAAGATGCCTGATCAGATAATGACCAGTCTCTCCTGGCTCAGTCGCATTGGAAAGCTAGGAGAATGGCAATAAGTATAGTGCTGTGTAAGCGGCGGCTGAGTGTTCCATGCAGGGCAAAGGGCATTGTACCAATCTTTTGTCATGAATAGCTTTCACAAATCAAGCTATCACTGCTAGTCTAGTGATGGGTTTAGATTGAGTGAACAGTTAGAAGTAGCATGAATGAAATGATTTGCTCAAAAATCCATGGAAGTTCATGTCTATATACGGGCCCCATTGCTCCTGGCTCATCTTGAGGACACCAACATTATCAAGCCTCTTACACGTTCTGTAACCGTTGATGATAGCCCAGGGAGTCTAATGTTTGAGTAAAGCTAAGCCATGAACCCTTCAAAGACCCATGTTTCCCGAAGCCAGCTCTGACGGCAACTATCCTCGACGCATATCAAATTGGTGCTGAGTGGAAACTCGATGGCATCGAGGTCCCGAAGGCCTGCACAATGCGAAGCCGTGATAGATAGGCTACGTCAAGGATCGGAAGGACGACTGAAATCATACATCCCTCTGGCCCTCGCAAGGCCCATTCTGCGCGACAATATTCCTGGATGTTTGATGCCCGTCCAGACTCGTTGGAAAGTTTGGGACGGGTGTTGAAATGTGTTGTTATGGAAGTTGTGTAGAGAAGCGTAAGCTGTTAGGCTTGTATGTAGTATCACCTAGTGAAGCGAGTGTGGAGTTTGAAGAGTCTGAAATCTGTAGTCGAGAGCTGTTGATTAAACCCACTCAGTATCAGAGCGCTATTTAAACTAATTACTACATCTAAGTGAAGGACACGATTCACTAGTTTATGCTAGATAATTGGGAGGCTGGTCAATGTATGAGTCGTCATGAATGTGGCTAGTAATAATAGAACCTAATTACGTTCCGTATAAATGCGACTTCTCATTGCCAAGTAGCGCCAATTTCAACAAATTGGACGTATTGGCCTTCACGTGATTTAGACTGATTATGTTGTGCTGGCTCGGTTGAGTTGTTAGGAGACAGGGGAACGGAGGATGGGCTGCTGGATTAGGAAAGGGTGGAAAATACAGGCTAGTGCACAGAGGCTGTTCATGTACTCTACAATCTCTTCACCTGCCGAGTTTAGTGAATCAATCTATCCAAAATAATATCATACTTCACATTATCCATTAGATGATATTATCAATCGTCGGGATGCACATCTAGCATCACCTTCATAGGTCACCATCTGATACGCATTCAGTGTCCATCGTGCCATCACCCAGCGTGAGCGCGCCATCTCCGCGACTCACCATTGCACATGAGCCCGTGTGATTCCACCGACAGACTGCAGAGATATAATTGCTATATACCTCACAGCTCATAACCACAACAGATTATGTAAGGCGTATGGGGATGGAGTTCACCTTGTAGCTCCATTCCGTAGTTGTGGGAAGGAATTAGAATAGTTTCGGAGATTGTAAGAATGGCATACCAAGTAAGAGGATGAGTTAGAGTTATGATGAATTTGTTTACTGTACGACGAAGTCTACTAATAAATGAAAGTTTATTCGTGTCAGTCATAAGCCTTGTACTCATAGAGCATGACACGGAGAAGAGTAGTCCTCCCCCGACAAATATACATACGACAATAAGCCAGTTTGACATTTGGACTACTCATGTAGTGGGTGCATTTACTGATACCACTCGAGACCTTGGTGCCGGGGACTTTCGCCCTTCCCTCAACCATTCATATCCACCAAAGGGAAAACGGGCGAAACCTTTGGCTACCCTAACATGCCTTGGTCATCTTGTCTATAGACGCCGCTCGCGATATGGCCTCACAGTCCTCCCTTTCTCGAGTGAAGTGGGTTTCCGGGCTACCCAGACTTATATTCGGGGAAATGATGACCAGGAAGTGGACCCAAACATCGTCCATTGTTGCCAGAGTTTAAAGTGTCGGTTGCCCTATCCAAAATCGTTGCCTCTGACACCTTTAAGTCGAAAATACTCGAAAAATGTGCGTCCTGGCATGCCCATTTGTGAGCTCTTCACTCGTTTGTCCCACGTGCCAGCTGCCTGTCCTTCCTCAAGATGTGAAGCCCCATTAGAGCAACGGTTCCCCATAGACCAAGACCCGAGCTTTGTAGATTATGACTTTGTTTCCGCCTCGCGGGTATACATAGCGTCGTAAATGTGTAGTGGGAGATGGCCGGTTTTTGATGAGGCAAATGCCCGATTGCAATTGGGGCGACGCCTTTATTGATCGTTGAGGCGAGATGATGTGTGGTCGGAGAGAGGTTGAGGACTTAGAGGATAATGGTGAGTGCTGCATGGTTGAGAAGTCGTCAAGTGGAGATATGCATGTGTTTACTTTCGACTTTGATTCGGGCGCGATTCTTCTTGGCTATCCCAGATATGCAGAGCATACTGAGCCATTACACCGGCACCACTGGAAGGTGAAGAATTTATCTTTGCCGGCCTTATGTAATGATGATCACGTCGGAGTTCAGGCGAAATAGAAGGAATTATGTACGCAAATAAACGATACCCTGTATCAATAGAAAATCAGATTCGGCCTTGCTTTTTTTTTTCATAGTGTATTGAGCTATCAAGTTATGACACATTATTTACATAATTATATTCCCCAAAACCCCTTTCTAAAATACTATCTTCATAATTATTTTTAAATTTCCAATTTAGCTTACCTAGTTCAACTCCCTTTATGTGCCACCATGCACTTGGATGCGTCCAAATAATTAAGAAGTGCTTCTTTTCCTCTTCTTCTTCGGAATAATATAGGTAGAGTTCTCGGCTCTACGCCCTTCAAACATCTGTTTCTTTGGTATTTAAATTTCGGACAATGTAACAACAAATGCTGCACAGTCTGCCTTTGTTTTGAACAAAAATTGCATATATCATCTTCAACTTTTCCTATCTCGTGCAGATATGCTCGGATATTTCTGACCCTAAGCCTAGCCTCGAAAAATGCTGACTCTGTCTCCCCGCTGTGATGTTGAAATTCTTATAGCTTGAATGAGAGGCTGGGTTGGTTAGTCTGTGCCTGGATTCTATAGTGCTTGCCGAGTCCTTTTGCTTTCCGGCCCTCTTCCTCATGCCAGAGCTCGAAGTTCCAGTCTTTATTCCATGCCTCAAGTATTAATTCTTTTGCTTTTTGTTGCATAAATGAATGAGTTGTAAACTTGTCCCTTCTCATTGCTTGTTTTTAACTTCCATTTCTGGCTAGATTGTCTGCTAATTCATTGCCTTCTATACCGACGTGTGCAGGACACCATTGAAGATGAATGGCACACCCTTGGGATGCCATCCTGATCTTATGAGAAAATTGGTTACTGCTGTGTTGGATCCGAAGGATGCTAGCCTGGCTATCAGTGAATATATATAGTCTTGAAAAATGGCTCTTAACAAATTGTGTTGCTTTCAGTAGGCAGGAAGTCTCAGCATCTGTGATACCCATAGTGTCACCAAGGTGATATGAGAAACATTTGATCTCTCTGCGAAGCTGGGAGTGAAATATTCTCCCAGACCCGAGATTCAGTCCCAAAAAAGGGTGGGATGAATTTTGTTTCATGGATTTTCGACTTGTAGGAGTTGCGCTCGATATATTGGTCGAAAAATCAGTCGGCAGGGATTTCACAGCCGGAACAAAGTTGAAGAAAAACTCATCACCACCAACATACGATTCACGAATGGATTGAGGTCTGTCCGTGGGTCGTATTCAAATATCCGACATCTCTCAAACTCCTCATGTAATCGCGACGAAGCATTTCTCAGTCGATTCTACACCTGCGACCCACCTCCATACTCGGCACATCATCTATCTACACACGCCCTAATGAGGAAAGTCATGATGGAGACGGGACGTGTACAAAGGAGTAAGAAAAGGGAATAATCACCGAGGGGATCGCACAAATCCCCGATGACGACAACAAGCCAATGGTACGATATGAAGGTGCAAGTCTAGGCCAACAATGAGATCTGGGACTACATTTATATTTCGGGGTCAATGAGGATATCAAGGGCTCGGGCGCGTGGTGGCCGAGGCTGAGGATGAATTTGCGCCTCGGCGCCTTAAAAGATGGTTCTCTAGACGACTGGGCTTGACATGATTCAACACAGGGGTGAAGTCTGAGGTGGGATGAGGCACTTGTACTTTGCGGTAGTTGACCTGACCAGGCCCGGCTCCACCCGTGCTCAAGCTCCAGCAGGAGTGCAACGGGAATCACTATACCTAGCACGTCAATGGACCAAAAAAATAGAAAATTAGGTCACATCTAGTCTTAAGCTCTACTATACATATTGGTAGTCTGTAGCCACTAGACACCCGCAGCCCACACCATCACAAAGCTAAGCTGATCTCACTTTTCACACATTCTAATCCACTAGGAACTATAATGACTTGATTATATTTACCTCATTTGATGCCATGTGGGGAGGGAAAACTGAACACCTGTACGCGGTGTCCACTACGAACCTGGGAGTGACAAATTCTCCCAGAGCCAAGTTCAGTCAAATTTCGCAACACCAAACAAGTTGGCCCACGAGCCAATAATTCAAGACTCTCCACCTAATCCATTTCTACCACTCAACGAGATCGATCCCTACCTAAGCCTCATCAAGCGTGCAGGTACGACCACGTACATCC